TTTTTTTTTTCATTTCTTTACTATCTTAAATGTGCATTAACTGGTACAGGATTTTTCTGTGTTCAGGATTACTGTAATGGGATGATTTCTAGAAGTAGAGCTGATGGATGACTGGCTAGGAACTTGTTTCATACTCCTGAGATAAGTATTATCTAATTGCTTCCCAGAAAGGGCACCCCAGTTTAAACTCCCACCAGTCATAAGGGTCCTTTTTAGTTATACCCCTGCTGGACAGAAGTAAGACATAGTTACTTATGTTTAATTTTTCATATTCCAAGGGAGGTTGAATGTTGTTGTCAGGCATCCTTTCTGAATCCTGTTCATGCCTCTTGTTCCTTTACTGTGTTGTGTGGCGGTTCAGGGATACTGTTGGAACACCAGGCTCTTTGTGTTGTCTGCTCCACCATCCTTAGTGTTTTCTTCGTTCCTTACTGCTTCTAGTTGCAAGATGGGTGTTCTCACTTCAGGTTTCATACTCACCTTATAGGAAGAAACGGGGGAAGGACCCTGCTAGCCAAGGGTTTCTCTGGAGCCCCACTCGGGGCAAACCCTGTTCAAGGCCAGGTTGTCACTAACGCCAGCTGGCAGATCAGAGGTTGCAGATGGTGTTTGGGTCAGTCTGCTGTAATGCCTGCTACAGTATCTGCATGTTTGTAATTTATCTGACCTTTCAAAAGATGGCAAATTTGTCATCTTTATGATAATACTTATTTCCTGGCCTATTTGCTGTTTTTTGTGATGTTTCAAATTGTTCATGTTGGCTACCATTTCCGTTATATCAATTTGAATCTTTTAAAACAAGGAAAAGCAAATCCCCACCCTCTTTGTGGTTGCTTTAGGCCGATTCTCTTGGAAGTAAAGTCTAAGATGGAAATTTGTATAAATTTTGTTGAGCAAATGCAGCGTGTATGATGCTAGCTAGGGGTTTGGTTTGCTGTGGAAGTAGTTGGGGTACTCCTTGTGGTCCAGTATATGCTCAGTGTTGGAAAAATGCGCATTCTTGGTTGTATTGGCCCCTAGAAGGTCTAGTTGAGTGTGTCACTGACATACTCCCTGCCACTGCTTCTTTTCTGTCTTGTCTGATTAGTAGGTGCACAAGGCAGGGGATTTCTTACCTTTGTGGATTTCATTCTTCCTCATTCCACAGGCGTTTGCACCCACAAAGGATGCAGATGAACTGATGAACACAGGCAAAAATCTTCTATCTCCTTTGGAATATGGAGAATTAAACATTAGTATCTGTGTCTTATTTCTGCCTAAACCAAACCCAAACCAAACTCACTGCCATCAAGTCGATTCTGACTCAGACCTCTCCTTGGGTTTCCGAGGCGGTATCTCTACGAAAGTAGATTGCCCCATCTTCCTTCCGAGGACTAGCTGGTGGGTTTGAACCGCCAGTCTCCTAGTTAGCAGTCAGATGGCTTAGGCACTACCCTACCAGAGCACCCTATTTCTGCCTCGCAGGGGCATGACTAAAAAGGACCCTCAAATCTACATAATTGACTCAAAGATTCCTGGCAGTCTGTCTGTTTGCCATGTTTCTTTTATCAATTAAAATGTCTTTCTAGGTCTCAGTATCTCCTACCTCAAAACTCAAATCAAACTCACTGCCTTCGAGTTGATTTTGACTCATAGTGGCCTCCATTGGGTTTCCAAGGTTGTAAATCTTCACGGAAGCAGACTGCCTTGTCCTGTCTCCTGCAGAGCTGCTGATGGGTTTGAACCCCTGACCTTTTGGTTAGCAGCCAAATGCCTTAACCACTACAACACCTGAGCTCCTTCCTTTTCCACCTAGAGTTCTGTTTTGTCTGTTGGTAATAGTAGCATTTTGCCTTTATTTTGTTTATTTGCATAGCACCTGTTTGAGTCCTTTTATTTTCAGCCTCACCATTCATTTTGTTTTATCTGTGCCTCTTGTTGGTTATGTCTGGCTGGATGTTTTTCTCTGATCTAAGTCTGACTGTCTCCCCTTAATAGACTAACCCATCTGTACGGTGATTACTTGCGCTCAGTGCTGTCATTTTATTTGATGTTTTCTGGTTATCATGCTTGAATATTTTTTCTTTCCTGTTGGATTTAGGTTTTTGTTTTCTCCTATAATTTCAAAGTTAGGCAGCCTGTTTCTGTTCTTCTGGTTCTCACCCTAAGACCTTGGTGCACATTCTTGGTATTTCTTACACAGCACCTAGAGTTAACTTAGCATTTATATCCCCACCTCCACCCAGTGTCCCCTGGACTTCAGTTTTTTGCCTTTTTAATTTGACAACATTGCTCTTAGTGCATCTGATATTGCCACTCTCAATCC